AAAAAAACCTGACAAGTACATTAAAAATGTAATAAGGGTAACATAACATTTTGTAACTACAGAAGAATAAACTCACAGTATTCTGTTATTTGAAGGCATGCCAGCTTGTTTCAAAATGAGATGTTTACTGCAGTGCTTGTATATTTTTTATATTCTATTGTTATTTCAAGCTTCTTCTGAATCCAAATGCACAAAATCTTTCATGTCTTTTCTTGCAACTGAAGACAAGTGAATCTGTTTTATCACTCAAAGTAAGAAAATTGTTTTGTCTTTGACAAAAGAAACAATAAAAAAATAACTTTTTTGAGCCAAATTTCTTTAGAAACTGTTATTTACACTGATCAAATATACAATATGTGCAGCATTATTTAATAAAAAGGTACACTCCTTAATGATTCCTATAATGTTAATTCCCTCAAAGTTTTGAAGGACCAATATTTATTTTTATTTATTTATTACAAGTACTTATATAGTGCCATCAATTTATGCAGTGCTTTGCATATATATCTAAGGTCCCTAACTTTATATTCATACATACAGTACACATACTATGGCCAATTTAGATTAGATTAGATTTAACTTTATTGTCATTGTGCAACGTACATGTACAGAGCCAATGAAATGCAGTTAGCATCCAGCCAGAAGTGCATACATGGCCCATTTACAATAAATAACAATATAACAAAAATTTGGGTATGGAATATACAGTAATACCATAATTGGTGCAATGAATAGTGCATTAAGGGATGAAATATTCAGTAATGCAATGGTGAATAAAATATACAGTAATGCAATATTGTCTAATGATTAGCTGTTCAATGCTTTAACAGCCACAGTGAAAAAACTGTGTACGGGCTGTGAGACACCTGTATCGTTTGCCCCATGGAAGGTGTGTGAACAGTCCAGGGTTAGGGTGAGAGGCATCATTAATGATGCCCCTAGCCCTTTGTACAGTGTTTTTTGTAAATGGCTTCCAAGGTGGAAAGCTGAACATCAATAATTCGTTGGGCGGTTTTCACCACCCTCTGAAGGGTTTTGCGGTCTGAAGCAGTGCAGCTGCTGTACCACACTAAGATGCAACTTGTGAGGATGCTCTCAATAGTACAACAATAAAAATTCTCCAATATCCTGTAGCACAGAAGGGATTTTTTAAGTTTCCTCAGAAAATATAGGTGCTGTTGTGCCTTCCTCATTAGGAAGGAAGAATTCAGAGACCAGGTGAGATCCTTAGAAATGTGGATTCCAAGAAACTTAAAGCTGTAAACACACTCTACAACAGCTCCATTGATGTTAATGGGAGCGTGGGTGTGATTACCAGCTCCTCTTGAATCCACAATAATCTCCTTTGTCTTGTTGGTGGTAAATTTCAAATTATTGTCCTCACACCATGTGACTAGGTGTCAGATCTCCTCCCTGTAAGCCCTCTCATTGTTACCTCTGATCAGGCCTACCACCATGGTGTCCTCAGCAAACTTAACAATGCTGTTTGATGCATAGACAGGTATGCAATCATAGGTGAAAAGGGAGTATAGAAGAGGGGACAATACACATCCTTGAGGAACCCCAGTGCTGATGTTAAGACTGGAATAGATGAAGGCGTTCAGTCCTACAGACTGTGGTCTGTTTGTAAGGAAGTCCAGGATACAATTACAAAGATGCATGCTGATGCCAAGCTGTTTCAGCTTCAAGATTAGCTTTGAAGGACTAACTGTATTAAAAGCTAAGCTGATATCAACAAACAACATCCTTACATGAGTGTCGGGGTTTTCCAGGTGAGCCAGAGCAGATAGAAGTACTGTAGAAATGGCATCCTCAGTAGACCTATTCGGCCGATAAGCAAATTGGTATGACTAAGTGGCAGACAGGCTTTAAGATGGATAAGGACCAATCTTTCAAAGCACTTTGTAATGACAGGAGTGAGTGCAAAAGGACGAAAATCACCCAAATCTGTTGCAATGGAATGCTTTGGCACTGGCACAATGGTAGCAGACTTGAAGTTAATGGGAACAATTGACTGGGCCAAAGACAGATTGAAAATATCTGTAAAGACCTCAGCCAGCTGCACTGCACATGCTCTGAGTGCACGGCCAGGGATGCCATCAAAGCCGGCTGCTTTCCATGCATTCACCCTGCCCAATATTGCACACACTTCAGAGGTAGAAAGTGTGAGTGGCTGCTCACTTGGTAACAGCTCAGCTTTGAGCCAATTAATCTACCAGCATGTCTTTGGAGTGTGGGAGGAAACCGGAGTAACCCACGCAGGCACAGGGAGAACATGCAAACTCCAGGCAGATGGTGCCGTGGTTGGAATTTAAACCCTAGTACTGCCAAGCAGAAGTGCTAACCATTTAGCCACTGTGCTGCGCAACAATAAATAATAACTACAAGTATTCTTTAAAAGCTCATATTTGCGTTTTCAAAATTTTTCACACCTGCACACATCATGAAAGTAACGCAATATGTATATGCTATTGGCCATTTCCATCTAAGGAGTGGCACCTGTATAATCCTTCAATGGGTACTTACAGTGGATTTCCAGTCAATTTTAGAATTACCCACATAACTGTAACGTACAAAGCTAGCGAATTAAGATTTGGATACTGATATGTTGAAATTTCTGCAGAAAGTACCTTTTTCTTATTAGTGTTCCCCGCGACCTCAGGTCGTAGGCTGACTAGGCAATTATGTCATCGGCCCGGTCTGTTGACTCCTGGGATATCTATGTCATTGATCCCAGGAGTCTTTGGGCATCTAGTGCGGGTACACAATGTGAGCCTCGCAGTGTCATTACTGCACAGGTGCGAGATCCGGAAGTGCATGCTGGGTAGCCAGCTGCATGAAATCCAAGAGATTAAGCCAGAACCCAAATCCTGCATGGCCGCAGCTGGAGTGACAAAAGAAAATAAGCACTTTGTAAGTAGTTACAATGTGTACATGGGCAACATTATCCATTATGCTTATGAGGAATTACAACAATCTCTGCAATGCTATTAATGCAATGTTGGCTAGGAGACTGGAACTCCACTTTAAGCATTCGAAAGCAAGTCTTTCTTCCGATTCAAATTTTTTTATTTAATATCTTCAATTCTGCTAACTTCCTGATGCATCCATATATAGATGTTATTGCTGAATATAAATAGGAAATACAACATTACCAGACAAGCAGAGTCACGTGTATGTTTAGCCAAAACTTTTATTTTTGTTTTGGATCGAGTAGGGAAGGGTTTAAACCCCTAGCAGATTATTTTTTTTGCACTCTGTGTCCAAGAGATTTCATTTCACTTCCTGCTCTATAGGTCTCAGTCACACGAGTGTACCGGTCGGTACGCCCTTTCGAAGGGCCATCTTCAGCCACCTGGGATTCACAGGTATTCCACGCAGGGGCATGCAGCCAGCCTGTTGAAATCATTAAAGTGTAACTAAAGGCAATTTTTTTTTTTAGTAAGGATGGGTTATAACCCCTGTCAGCTTTTTTGCCATCTGTGTCCCATTTGGGAGAGTTAGCTTCACTTCCTGTTCTAGAGCCAAAACAGGAAGTGAGAGTAAATCCCTCCAAAATGAGGAAAAATTGGTGGGTCCCCAGGGTCACCAGAACTAGTGTCTCCACATGGAGCACCTATGAATCCCAGATGGCTGAAGACAGCCCTTCACAGTGGAATACAGATTGGTACTCCTATGTGAATACAGCCTAAAGGACAGGCATTGAGAGGTGATCTGTACAATATAGAAGGGATTTCCCTCTTAAACAGCTGTCACAAGAACTGTCCACATGAAAGATTCCCCCCCCCCCATACTTGTTCTAATGACAACGGTAACATTTTGGACTTCCCATTATTTTATCTCTTGATAACAGCGGTTACCAAGACAAGCCATGCATGAGGATATCACATATTTGTGCATTATATGTTGTTTGTAGGGCCAAGAAACAGTAGTGCATATTTTGCTTTTTTTATCCTACCTAAGCACACTGTAAAAAATGTAATGTATCTCACAAAGAAGGAACAGTGCAGGGATGGGTTCTAACAGCAGTGATCACTGCAATTGGCTGTTACAGCACTCACATGATCAGGAGGCAGTCTTACTGACACTTGTTTATTACTCTGAGACTAAACTGAAACTCAGTCTGCGTGCTGGAAACACACAATCAAACAGAAACATATTCTGCATATACAGTATGTGGTGCCATGGAAGAAAGCCCACTCCTGTGATGCCTCATACACTATACTGCCAAACGTATTGGGACGCCTACCTTTACATGCACATGAACTTTAATGGCCTCCCAGTCTTAGTCCACAGGGTTCAGGTATTGAGTTGACCTACTATTTGCAGCTATGACAGCTTCAACTCTTCTGGAAAGGCTGTCCACAAGGTTTAGAAGTGGGTCTATGGCCTGGCTTGCAGTCTCTGCTCTAATGCATCCTAAAGGTGTTCTGTCAGGTTGAAGTCAGGACTCTGTGCAGGCCAGTCAAGTTCCTCCACCCCAAACTCACTCATCCATGTCTTTATGGACCTTGCTTTATGCACTGGTGCGCAGTCATGTTGGAACAGGAAGGGGCTATTCCCAAACTGTTCCCACAAAGCTGAGAGCATGAAATTGTCCAAAATGTCTTGGTATGCTGACGCCTTAAGAGTTGCCTTCACTGGAACTAGGGCCAAGCCCAACCCCTGAAAAACAACCCCACACTATAATCCCCCCTCCACCAAACTTTACACTTGGCACAATGCAGTCAGACAAATACCGTTCTCCTGGCATCCGCCAAACCCAGACACATCCGTTGGATTTCCAGACAGAGCGTGATTCGTTACTTCAGAGAACACATGCTCTATAGTCCAGTGGAGGCATGCTTTACACCACTGCATCCGACTCTTTGCATTGCAGTTGATGATGTAAGGCTTGGATGCAACTGCTCGGCCATGGAAAAACATTCCATGAAGCTCTCTACGCACTGTTGTTGTGCTAATCTGAAAGCTACATGAAGTTTGGAGGTCTTTAGCTACTGTATTGACTCAGCAGACAGTTGCCGACTTCTGCACACTGTGGCTTCAGCATGCGCTGACCCTGCATTGTCATTTTACGTGGCCTACCACTTCATGGCTGAGTTGCTGTTGTTCCCAGTTGCTTCCACTTTGTTAAAATACCACTAACAGTTGACCGTGGAAAATTTAGTAGCAAGGAAATTTCAAGAATGGACTTATTGCACAGGTGACAACCTATCAGGGTACCACACTTGAATTCACTGAGCTCCTGAGAGCGACCCATTCTTTCACAAATGTTTGTAGAAGCAGTCTGCATGCCTAGGTGCTTGATTTTATACACATGTGGCCATGGAGGTGATTGGAACACTTGAAAGCAATGATTGAGAGGGGGATCCCAATACTTAGCAATATAGTGTATATGAGTGATGCCATCGTCTGGGATACTTTCATTTGATTATATCTCTGATGAATCAAGGTGGCACCCTGGTTGAGAAAGACTGCACTAATTAACCTGGTACAAATAAGTAATTCAGGACTGCAATCCGGAAAAATTGTCTTGTGGTAATGAGAAGTAGCTCTACACTTCTGTCTGTGTCAGAAGTTCTCATCTACATGTGAGTGAGCTGTACATGTCATCTACTTTCCTTGGGTTTCTCCTATGTCCGGGACATTGATTGCTTCTGAATGAAGAAAGAACAAACAGAGGGCGCACAGGCCTAGTGCATTACCATAAAAAATGTTTAATAAGAAATAAAGTAGGTGTTGTACTCACAAATGACAATAAAGTCAAAGCACGTCATAAAAGTGGTGTGAGAAATTGTGGAACCTGCAAATACATGTGCCACAGAAAGAAAGAGGTGGCAGGCACCAATGGCCATACATATAAGATTAAACAGCTTATCAACTGTGGCACTTCCTTTGTGATCTATGGGCTCATCTGCCCCTGTGGCCTCCTATATGTTGGCAGAACCCTGCGTCCCTTGAGGGTCAGGTTTGGCGAACACAAATGTAACATTATTAATCACAAGGACAGCAATAAAGGCATATACAAATATTCTGTACCACGGCACTTTCGGGAAGCACACAGTGGAGATCCATCAGGCATGAAAGTCTTTGGGATTGAATCCATCACAGGAGATTCAGATGGTGGAAGAAAATTCCAGAGACTATGCAAGAGGGAGACCTATTGGAGCTTTACTCAGGGTTCCCTCTCACCCACTGGGCTTAATGAAGATCTTGAGATACATGGGGTCATTCACTGACCCCCCCATTATGCATAGGTACCTTCTGCTGAGCTGTACATGTTCCTTATAGTTCTACTCTCATCCTTTTTGCTAGTTCCATAATTTCCCTTGTGACCTATAGTGGGTACACCATCCATTACAGATGTATGCTTTAGATATATTCATTTTCATCAGCTATGACTATTATATTATCATCAGTATAATCTACCATTACCCTGCATCCTTAAACACTAGATTGTTCACTTCACATTCATTGTGTCACCCTTAGGCGCATTTGCTCGACCGCATTCCCGGACGCTTGTGCCTATGGGTCATTCATTGGTCACCCATTTTTTCATTCAGTTTCCATTTATGTGTGTGTATGTTTATGTACATACATTTTTTTTAACAAAAGAGCAGTTACTCATATGGACATGTTACACACACACACATGTGCACATGCATGTGGTCCAGGGAGCTCTCTCAGGGCACTGCTTTCTTGTCATGCAGGTGCTTGTTCCATAACACCTTTGACATCCATATATCATTCTTATATATAACACACATTCATATCTTTTACACATTTTTTTATATATACATTTTTTTTTTTTTTGAATTATTATTTATTAATTTCTTTATATATTTTATATTTCTCATGCTTCCATGTTTATGCATAAACACGTATACCATACATTATTCCAATTTTACCAGATATTATATTATATTGTAACAACACTTATTTCATTTTATTTAAATTTTGTAAACCATATTAAGAAGTTTTTTGCAACATTTTATAGTAATATTTATGTTTATACTAGTGATTTATCTCCTTTATCCCTGTGTATAGTGTCGCATATGTACATCCATCCTTGGTGCACTGCATTGCCACACATGCTTTAGTTTCATCACGTATGACTATACTAGAATAATAGTACACACCCTGTAGGCTGCATTTCTATGAATTAATAAGTGTCACTACTGGGTTCCAGATCTACTTTCTTCATTATATCCATGTCCCATGGTTGTCTATGGCAAGCAGTGCACTAGGCAGCATCGTAGTGTCGTTCTTTCCATCCATCCATCCATTTATTTAAATGCGAGCAGTGCGGTGCATCACCAGTGAAGGATTATTATATATATATATGTGTAAAAATTGTTTACTTATTTATTTTTTATTTGCACACTTCTTATGGTTCTTATGATTTCATGATTGTCACTAGTTTCAATGGTTTTATTTATACATATATATTTATATATTTTTTTATAGATCTTTTGTGTTTACTTATACTATGTCAATTGCCCCTGTGACTCCTCCACCTGCATAGGGGAGTGTCCAGGATGGCCCATGTGACCTTTGGTTCAACTAGTAGTGAGCATATAAAAGAAGGAGCAGACATTTGTTCGACTTTATTGTTGTTTGTAAGTACAACACCTACTTTATTTCTTATTAAATATTTTTAATGGTAATGCTGTTTGCTCTTTCCTCATTCAGTATATTTGGATTTCCCCAGTCTATTGAGGGCAGCAAGGTGTGCATGTTCCAGGACATTCTTAATGTGGTTGTAACCTGCATCGAGTCCATCCCCTAGCGCAGGAGCATTTGTGTTTGCTGTTTATTGATTGCTTCTGCCTGCTGCTGTACAGTGTTCTCCAGTAGTTAGAGCGAAATGTTACAATTGTATTAGGTTATGAATATTTATTCTGCCTTAGCCAGTGACTACGGGTTTATTAGAGTGATGTGGACTGGAGAAGAGAATAAACATTTGTCGTGACCTTCTAGAAAGATCCTTCATTCCCTGGCCTTTGCTTGAAGAGAATGTAGTTGTGAGAGGTTCCTTGTTTTCCAGACCTTTGACCGGGAAGGAAGCCAGAAAGAGGAAGGGTTTTGTTCTCGGATTTGTTCTCTGAAGCTGCCTGTCTTGCCCTAAATATTCCAAGCTGGCATTTGGTAGAGACCTAAATAATCTAAACTGACCTATGGCAGAGGACTAAGAAACATAAAGTTAGCTGTCCACCTGGGCTTACAGAATTTAGGCTGGCCTGTGGCAGATGCATAAGCAATAAAACAACAGATGACAATTTGGGCCTAAAGAATCCAAAGCTGGCCTGTGGCAGTGACCTAAAGAAACTAGATGACAGCTACCTATTTGAGCCTAAAGAATTCTTGGAAAAATCTGCTGTGTGGAAAGATCTTTGCTGCTGTTTTTGGGTATCCTTTACATCTAACCTTCTTTTCCCAAGACAATAGAACCAATAAAATTGCAAAAAGAAGATTGAAGGTAATGTAGTCTGCTATTGGTGGGTTGGTATTTTGTTGGGTGTAGGGTGGGTCACCATTAGCAAGTCAAGAAAGCCTCAGTTACATCCAGTATACAGTACAATGCTGTATTCCAGCAGGTGGATGAGAACTTCCCCTTTGACTCCCAGGACAAAAGTTAGTTGGGCTGGGCACTGCTCAGCTATTCAGAGGAAGCTTTGTATTCTATGAATGAATACAAAACTTCCTCTAAATGGCTGAGGCAAAAAGATGGGCTGATGATGCCATGAACATTGCCTCAGCCATTTAGAGGAAGTTTTGTATTCATTCATAATGCTCATCCCAATTCAATTTTCATGTTTTTTTTTTGGGAGCAGGAAAGCAATTGCTTGTCCCTCTGCCAGAACACAGTGCTGTATACTGTATGTAGCTGAGGCTACATACAGTTTATATCGTGCAAGCAGCTGCTGCAACTGTTAATGAAGTAAATAGCTGATTTGGACCAGCTTGGCCGACCAACTATTTAAAGTTGAATTAAACATGACAATTAGCTTTAAGTACCCTAAAATGACTGGTGCCACAGCTGGTCATGTGTGCAGCACCATGCCTATAGCAGACCAAAATAGAGCATAATATTGTTCTTTGAAGGATAGGAGGATAGAGGGATTTAGGTCTATTTTTCTTCTCCTCAACTCCTAAAATGCTGCACTCCTAATCCTTACCCTTAACCTAAACCCTAACATCAATAAATTATTTTTCTGCTATATACTAACTACATCCTAAGCAGGAAACCTCTGTGCCAATAGTATAGAAGCCAAAAGCATACTGTGCTGTAATCATAACACAACCACAGCTTACATTAGACAAAGGGCTGTTGTTTTACCAAGGTAATGCTTCAAGTCACATTTGAATTGTTGTCATGGCTAGCATCCATAAAATTGGTATGAACTGTTTGAACACCCTCCCTACTATGCTGGTCTTGGCCCATTTATTCTCTAAAGAAAGTTGGTGCACAGGAGTCACAGAAGCACACAAAGACATGTTGGAGGCACAGGGGTGCTTAGAGGCATGCTGGATATCTGGGGTGCAGTTGGAGCCATGGTAATGCATGAGGGCAAACTAGAGACACAGAGGCACATTGGAAACTCTGGAGCATATAGAGTCAGAGATACTTGTGAGGAACTTGTGGAAACAGGCTGAGATGCAAGGTGGAAGTACAATGGCACTGGAGATGACTGAGCCACAGGAGGTACAGAGGAGATACATTGGTTCTGGAAAGGCATGAACACATGAGCTATGGAAAAGCCAACATCATAGGTAATAGGGAAAAGACTGTTAGCACAGGGAGCTCAGCTTAGATGTAGCGCCACATCTCCCAAATTTGAGCCACATGCTGATCTCCTGACAGCTACAGAACCAACACTCCACTGGCATCCAGAATCATCCACAGCCATGCCTCAGAGAAAAGACGCTGATGCTGGATCTGAGGAGAGCTGAGTGCTACAGGAAGAACCCTTGAACTTCAAAGTACAAATCACTGCAAACATGAATTTGACCAACAGATTTTTCCCCTCCCCATCTGAGACCAAAAAGCTAAGGTTTTTGATGGAGATGTCTAAAGATTTACACAAATGATTCAATCATTGCACCATCTCACTAAAGGCACCATGATCAGGTGTCAGTCATTTAATTTCCAGGAGGTATCTTTCCATTTATATTAATTTTGTAATTTTTTTGATTATCACATACCCGTATTTATATTTATATTTTTACATTTTATATCCAGGATTTTTTGTAGTTATAGTTTCATTAAGTTAGCCAGTCTCTGGTTTGACAGAGTAATACTATCAAATCTTCAAAACACAATGTACAAGATGGATGTTTCATAAGCATCTAACACCCGGCAGTTATAATAAGACGCTAAATCATGACCTTCAAAAGTAGTCA